TCTGACACATATATTATAATTAATAAATTTACGTTGATGAAATATTTCTTTATAATTGACTAATAAAATAAAAATTAAATAAAAGTTTGAAACGCGCGCGTAACCTGATTTTATGTCCATCTCTGTATACCTAATATGTGAATCCTAATGAAATTTTGTATTACAAAATCTTATATTTCCGAATTTCCATCTGCGAATCGCTGCTGAATCGCAACAAAATCGACCCATTTCTGCAGCGGATGGTGACTGGTGATGAAAAATGGGTCACTTACGACAACGTCAAGCGAAAACGGTCGTGGTCGAAACGCGGTGAGCCGGCGCAAACAATGGCCAAGCCAGGATTGACGGTCAGAAAGGCTTTGCTGTGTGTTTGGTGGGATTGGCAGGGAATCATCCACTATGAGCTGCTCCCCTACGGCCAAACTCTTAATTCAGACCTGTACTGTCAACAATTGGACCGTCTGAAGGAATCAATCGCCCAGAAGCGGCCAGCTTTGGCCAATAGGAGAGGAATTGTGTTCCATCAGGATAACGCCAGGCCACACACATCGATAGTGACTCGCCAGAAGCTCCGGGAGCTTGGTTGGGAGGTTCTTATGCATCCACCTTTATAGTCCGGACCTGGCACCAAGTGATTACCACCTGTTCCTGTCTATGGCGAATGATTTTGCTGGTGAAAAATTCGCCTCAAGAGAAGCTTATGAAAATCGACTGTCCCAGTTTTTTGCCAATAGGGACAAGAGTTTCTATGAGAGAGGCATAATGGAATTACCTTCAAAATGGCAACAAGTTATCGAACAAAACGGTGCATATTTGACCTAAATCGGATTATTCTAACTATGCTAAATAAAGCCTTCAATTTCATGTAAAAATAATGAATTTCTTTTTACTACACCTTATATATATTTTCTGGTTTCATAATCGCATGTCCCATGAGACATAGCTTCGTCTTCATGCACATAGCTTGTGTTAATTAAAGCTTTTCTGAACCATAATTAAGAGAATCTCATTTACTCGCAGTCATAAAGGACAAATGTTTAATTGTTCTTTCTTACACGGAAAAAACAATTCTGTTGGTGCAATCGAATTTTTTGTTGCTCACGGATCAGACGAAAACTCGGCTGTAGGAAAAGAATTCCTTTATGGCGCTTCTGTATAGTCAATTGTTTTCAGTTGTCTCAACCGAGTTCTAATATGTATCGTTGAATGTTCAAACAAATATTTTCGGTTGCGACAACAGAATTATTAGTCACTAATAGTGAGATATTAAACGGCACATAAGGAGCAAGCACGTATGTCTTAGTGCTATTAAATACTAATATTACTTTTTTTTTTTAAATATTAATATGATTGTGGAGGATAAAATTGTCCAGTATGTTTGGAATTTTAATAAAAAAATATATATTTAAAAATTGGGACTCAAGGATCGGTCTAAGTATGGAAGGTTGATTCTCCGCGTACGATAATCGAAGAAAAAATTTCGATACGTGCGTTTAACACACTGGACAATTTTATCCTCCCACAATCATATTAATATTAAAAAAAAAAAAGTAATATTAGTATTTAATAGCACTAAGACATCCGTGCTTGCTGCTTATGTGCCGTTTAATATCTCACTATTAGTTAATCTATCTATCTATTCAAAGGAGCTTTCTATTATTTCGGTTTATCTTAAGCATTGGCAGGAAGAATATGCTATCTCTCTCTCTCTCTCTGTATAATAACATTTCTTACGAGATCGACTCTTTCGTTCTCTCTCAACTTACATCTTAGAGAATTTATAAACATTGTGTTGCGAGATTACTGTCAAAGCCTCGGTGGCCGAATGAAAAGGCGTCCCGCCCGGAAAGTGGGGAGGTTCCAGGTTCGAGTCCTAGCGGAGGCAGTTTTTTCGCAACATATATAAGGAATCTATTTGAGTCATCGGTGTTTAATGGAGTTTGGGATTTTAATAAAAAAATATATATTTAAAAATTAATTTAGAATTATTAGTTTTCATAACAGAGATCGCTTCTGATCACTTAATTTTCAGTTGGTTCCTATTTAGTTACATCAAATAAAATTTTTTTTGCGTGTATGTATGAAGATAACGTTTGCGATCGTTTCATATTTCGATTCACAGTTATTAGTTATTTTGCGACCAGATAATGTGTAAATACGTCATTATAGAATAATTTAGTATCATTTTTGAGGATGTACCTTTCCTAGGTACAGTTTTGATTTCATCTCGTTGTCACAACTTTGACACATATAATAAGTAGTTAAAAATCGAATTAATATGGATATGGTAAAGGTTAATATAAATATTAACCTTTACTTCCACTTGTGAGTGTCATCATACTTATATACATACATACGCGCATATGTGTACACGTATGCATACATGAACGTGTATCAGCTCTAATTGTAGAGAAAACATAATTTGTCGCTACTTTGTAAATCATTTCAACGGGTCGAGCTAACCCTATTTTGGTAAAGGTATCTTGGCAGGCAACCCCTATTAGAAAAGCCTTGGCTTAATCAAATTGCTGTACTAATTCACAGAAACAAAAGTTCATGCTCCAATATTGGGTGGCAACACCGTTCTTGTATTCGACGACGCACGGTTTTGCGTAACTATCGCTTTCCCAGCCGGTAAATTTCAATCGGATAGCACAGTCTTCTTTTAAAATTGTTTAACGGGATATAGCGTGTAAACGACCTACAAATGATGGAAGGTTACGAGATTTAAATATGCACCATATAAAATTTCAGGTAAAAATTTCATCGCACAATTTCTTAAATGGCGCAAATAGATAACATTTTGCGTCTCCTGTAAGTTATAAACATAAAAAAATGGTAAAAAAACGTTGAAACAACATACATAGCCAGAAACAATCTTATACGCACAAAAAAATACCAGGTCTGTAAATATGAAACCGGAATTTGCCCATAGATGGCCCTGTCAATGTAGTTACCGTCAAACCGCGTCATTGGCGCCATTTCCTTGTTGACATCTCTGACAAAGATTTTCAACTTACAACAATACAAGTTTCATACAACAGCATAGTTTGTAATAGCATTGAACATGTCGAATTTTGTGCCTAAAAACTACGATTTGCGGACAGCATTGATTTTCTGTTACCATTTGAAGAAAACTGCTGCAGAATCGCATCGAATGTTTGTCGAAGCTTACGGTGAGCATGCTCTTGGTAAATCACAGTGCTTTGAGTGGTTTAAAAAATTCAAAAGTGGTAATTTTGACGTGAGAAACGAAGAACGTGGAAGACCACCGAAAAAGTTTGAAGACAGCGAATTGCAAGCATTGTTAGATGAGGATGACACTAAAACGCAACAACAATTCGCGGATCAATTAAATGTGACACGAGAAGCCGTCTCCATACGTTTGAAAGCCATGGGAAAGATTCAGAAGATGGGAAAATGGGTTCCACATGAACTGAATAAAAGACAGCAGGAAAACCGAAAAACCACTTGCGAAATGCTGCTCGCCAGGTACAAAAGAAAATCATTTCTTCATCGAATTGTGACTGGCGATGAAAAGTGGATATATTTTGAAAATCCTAAGCGTAAAAGATCATGGCTAACTCCAGGCGAACCATCAACATCGACTGCAAGGCCAAATCGCTATGGATGGAAGACAATGCTCTGTGTTTGGTGGGATCAGAAGGATGTGATCTATTATGAGCTGCTAAAACCTGGCCAAACCGTTAATACTAAACGCTACCGACAACAAATGATCGATTTGAATCAAGCTTTACGTGAAAAACAACCAGAATATAAAAAAAGGCAACAAAAAGTGATTTTGCTTCATGATAATGCACCATCACACACAACAAAACTGGTCAAGGAAACGATTGAGGCGTTTAGTTGGAAAATACTTTCGCATGCGGCTTACTCACTAGACTTGGCTCCGTCCGATTACTATTTATTTGCATCGATGAGACACGCACTTGCTAAGTAGCGCTTCACTTTTTACGAAAATGTACGAAAATGGCTCGATGACTGGTTTGCCTCAAAAGAGCAACAGTTTTTTTGACGTGGCATCCACAAATTGTCAGACAGGTGGGAAAAATGTATAGCTAGCGATGGGCAATACTTCGAATAAAATATTTTTTATCATTTTCATATAATAAACGTGTATTTTCTATACAAAAATTCCGGTTTCATATTTACATACCTGGTACATATCGCATTCAAGTAAATATTATTCATTTCAAGCATTTCGTAAGTTTATACAAGGTGTCTTGCAACTACCGTAAGATAGTTTAATAGCGTATTTTAAAGATAATGTAGAGTAAAAAATCCTAATACAAAAATGTCAAGTAGTTTTTCAAATAGTTTTACAAAAAATAGTTCTATAATAGGTTTTGAATTATAACCGATCAAAGATTATCAGTAATATCATGTAGAATTCGTGCACTTAGGCCTGTAATTATACAGCACGCACAACGTTTTATTATTTGTTATTGACTTCACGGTTAATATTGATTTTTACTACACAGCTGATTCCTAAAAACATTAATAATTATTATTGTTAGAATTATTAAATTTAACTTGAGTAACAAGGATTTTTGCGTTTCTAACATGAAAAGTAATCATGGAAAATAATTTATTATTTTCGTTTTTTTCACGTTTTAGGAGGAGTGAAATTGTATAATTCTAATAAATCAAAGAAATAAAGTTAATTTGTCCATATTTCTTAAACAATTTAAATTTTTATTAAAATCTTGATATGCTGAAATTATTGTAAGATCTAAACTAAGATCTGCTTCGACCGAATACACTTTTTTCATTTATCAATCTTTATCAATCTTTATAATTTTTTTAGAAACAAATTTTTTTGAAAGAAACTTTAGACTTAATAATTTTTTGTAGATGGAATAATTGGAGTAATTGATAAAATATTTAAATTTTCATTAAAATAAAAGATAAAATAATTTGCTTATTATATACAATTTGTTAATATTTTTTCAATGCATAACAATAATAGCTTCTTAATATCTGAATACGTGATCATAGCTAAGTCAAACATAAAAAATAAAAATATAACAGGTTTCAAATCGCATATTTTTTATGTAATATAATCAAATATTATTATATAATCAAATATTTTATATTTAAAAAATTAAAATTTTATAAAGAAACTTTAAGACAAAAGTATTTATGTCAACAATAATCATATATTTTTAATATTTTTTTTGGCCATTTATAAAAGCTGCTCAAAATGTCATCCACCCGATTGTATATATAATTGTGCTCGTCTTAATAAATCACGACCAGAATTTTTGATTATTTCATTAGTGAATGTTGCCAATCTTTTGTTAATACGATTATGCAACTCCTCTTTATTTTGAATTGGTTCGCCTTGATAAATATGTTGTTTTAAATGCCCCCGAGGAAGAAGTCCATTGGCGTTATATCTAGGGATCTCAGTGGCCAATTAATTAGACCGTTACGTCCAATCCATCGATTTGGATATGTTTCGTTTAATATATTTTGGACTCTTCTTGTAAAGTGAGGAGGTGCTCCATCGTGTTAAAAAATCATATTTAATCGCTCATTTAATGGAACATCTTCAAGTAATTGTTGTAACTCGTTTATCATAAATTTGAAATATGCATTTCCATTTAACCTCGGTGACAAAACATATAGTCCAATCTAAAATAGTACAACATTAACATTAATTATTATTAACATTTCTTTGAATACAATAATTTAATATAATGATAATTTTAATAAGAAAATTAACATGTAAGATAATACCATTCGGTCATTAATGATTCCAGCCCACAAATTAATTTGAAATTTATGTTGGAATCTACTGATATGATATGCGTTTGGATTTTCATCACTCCAAATATGAGAATTATAAATGTTAAACACACCTTCGCGAGTAAAATATGATTCGTCTGTAAAGAAAATTAGAGGACAAAACCAGGATGTCTTCTTTTATTTTCTAATAGCCATGTGCAAAATTCTCATGTCTTTTTTCCTCGGAGCTTAAACTTCATGAGCGCCCAAACATTTTCTATGGGGCTTGTATCTGGCGACTGTGAAGGCCAATCCAGTACGTCAACATCATTTTCTTGTTTCCACGCAGTATAAAATCTACTCTGTTTTGGATTATTGTCCTTTTGCAATAGCCAATTTTCATTTTCCTTTCTAAACCACTTTTGGGTAGATGGTAACAAAACCCTCTGATATATTTTGACCATTTTGTGTCCAAATTTTTTGTAAAGGTGTGCAAAGTACTAAATCCGTGCTTTGAGAAACAGCCCCAGGCGTACATCTTTACCGGATGTTTAACGGTCCGCTTGATGAATTTATTGGCGTGGGTAGACCAGGCATGTCTGATAGAAGAATTTGCCCAAAAAGAAGTTTCATCTGAAAAAATTACATTGTCCCAATAGCGATCCAAATTTTTTTTTGCCCAAGCAAGTCTTTTTTCGATGTGTTTTTCGAACAGTAACGGTTTCTTTATTGTGCTTCGAAATTTTACTTTATGAGTCAGTAAACGTCTTCATATAGTATTACATGATATATTTAGACCTTTTTTATGTAAAATCGTTTATCCACCATGTAATGATAAACGAGGATTCTTCTCAAACACTCGTAAAATCATTCTCAATTCCTCCTTTTTCGTCGTTCCTTGCACAGAGCCATGATCCGGCAGGTCATCGACGTTTTTCATGTCGAAATAGCGTTTCAGCTACTTACTTACAAATGTCTTAGACTTTTTAATGTACTTAACAGCCACTCCGTACGACATTTTTGGTCCTTTCAAATGTAAACATAAAAACAGGGCTTCAAGAGATGCGTACGCAGCACTCATAATGAAATATGTCCTTCTGTGACCAAGATCAAACTACAACTAAGATTTTCTATACAAAGCATCTTGGGAGAAGAGTCCCGCTATCTGTTCGCGTTCAAATTCCTCCTCTAACGGTTTCTAGGAAAAAGTTTTGCGGTACATGCTCTTATCAAACAAATTTCAGGGTTGGGTAGTAACTAGTTAAAAAGTTAAAAAGTTAAATGGCTTTAACTTAATTACATTTTTACTCTTTTAACTTTTAACTAAACTTAGTTACATTTTATCGGTAATTTTTAATTCAATTATCTTTAATCATACCATAAAGTTGTCGCGGGACGTCGAAAGACTGTTTAGTACAGGAGAGTTTATTTTTGGCAATCGTTGAGGAAAAATGTCTAATAAAAAGGATCCCGCACTAATCATATGAAAAAAGTGGTTTTAGTCGAATTGACTGAAACTATGATATTTTGTAGCTTATGAGGAGGTGATCAAAAATCTTCAATAAAAAATATGAAAATGTATACAGAAATGTATGTATAAATGAAAAAATACAATTTTTTTTCTAGCGCCATTATAAAGTTGCTATTTTAGGTCTAACCGAACCTTTATCTACAGATTGCTTACTCGTTTAAATATTTATATATAATCATACGTGTGTCCAGTATTGAATAGATTCATGTCTCAGTGTATGTATGCGGTGCGGGAGATGGAGGTATAATATGGGTGTGTGTTGGTATGTGTGTATTTGCATTGATAGTTATTCTATTAGTATGTCTGACATTATTACGTCCAAAAAATGTGTGTGTGCGTGTGTGTGTGTGTGTGTACGTGCGTACGTGTGTATGTGTAATTTAACCTAACCTAACCCACCCAACACACACACGTACGCATGCATACACCCACTCCAACATTTTGGACGTAATAATGTCAGATATACTAATAGAATAACTATCGACACAAATACACACATATCAATACACATCCATATTACACCCTCCTCCCGCACCATATACATATATTGAGACATGAATTTATTCAATAATGGACACACGTCTGCTTATATATAAATGTCTACTATGTTAAAAAAGTAATCTATGTACTGTAGATAAAAGTTCGGTTAGACCTAAAATAGCTACTTTCTAATAGCGCTAGAAAAAAACTTCCCACTTTTTCACACTTTTTGTTGAAGATTTTTTATCAGCACCTCATAAGCTACAAAATATCATAGTTTCAGTCAATTCGATTGAAATTACTTTTTTCATATGATTAGTGCGGGGTCCTTTCCAAAAAACTTTATTACTTAAATTTAATAAATATCTATAAATAAAACATGTTTTCAAATAAGGTGTATATTTGTTTCTTCCGTTATTTGTAAAACTGAAACCTGAAGTCATAAAATGAAACAAATTTAACTTTTAACTTTTTAATTTTTTTTTTTTATCAACTTAACTTTTAATTCAATTAATTTCATTATAGATTAACTTTATCTTAACTAAGTTAAATTTTCAAAGCCATTTACTTTAACTTAACTTAATTAAAAAAAAAAGTTAACTTATCCAACCCTGAATATATTTCGAAACATATCGCATGCACATACGTTGAATGAAATGTTCAGTACATTCAATATTCGTGATACATGTGCATATACCATAGTGTACATATATGTACACGCACCGGCGTTAATGCCGTCCGAATATCCGTGTGACTCGCACACGATAACGCGTCACTCATACACTGCTGCGTGTAGGTGAGCTAAGAGCAGCACGGAGTGGCGGAGGGAGCTACGGTATACGATCGTCGGACGCTTGGAGAGGGAATAGTGGTGGGAGTCGCGGCGATCTTCCATCCTCTATCGCAAACGTAAGAACGAGAGAAATAGCATTATAAGACGTCTGGACAGAAATGCCGTCCTAAAATACGTGTGACACACACTAAGAAA